CATAATTTATATAAAATATGTGCTTTATATAATATATATAGTATACATAATTTATATAATATATATGCTGTCTCTCCTGTTTCCTGTCTCTGACATCTGTCTCCTTATCTACTGTCTCCGTCTCCTGTGTAGCTTCTCTCTTGCCCTTCTCATCATCACCATCTGTATTATGAGTACTATTACAATTCCACTAGTAGAATTACTACTTTAAATATACTATAATAAATAGTTTTTATTTTTATTTTTTGTTAATATAATATATTTTTATTAGTACCATTACGATCATACAATTATGATAACTATTACAACAATAACTACATTAAAAGTACAATATAAAAACTGTAAAAAGCAAAAAAAAAATAAAATAAAATAAAAAGTAATGTGTTGCTGTTGTGCTGCAGATAGGGCGTCTGGCTGCTCAGTACGACTTGGTTTGTCTTCAGGAGGTGTGGGGTGCGAATTTGTGGGGTTTAAATTCGAGTGTCTTACCAACTCACAATATATTACCGGAGACAGTCTCCTCAGGTGTCCCCTCATTTCTTCGTGGTGTCTTTGATCCCTGGTGTCTGTACACCCGAAAAACAGGGGGATTGTGGTTTGCTTGGCGTCTATCAAAATTAAATTATATAAATACACAAAAATGTTTTTTTACACCTGATACACGTGTCCCCTTCTCTAACCAAAATATTACTGCTGTAGAGCTGGGGGTGGGGTCTGTGTTTAAGGGGATGAGGTTGGTGGTTGTTGCTACACACTTTAGTGTATTAGGGAGACACCCACGAGCAGCAAATATAGAACAACTGAAAAAATTTGTTAAAGAGATTGCGTGGAGACAGTATCTTTTGTGGCTAGCAAGACAGATGCAAGGAGGAGGAGGAGCAGCAGCAACAGCAACAGCAGCAGCAGCAGCAGCAACAAAGACAACAAAAAATGCTCCTCCTTCTTTTGTTGCAGACACAGCTATGCTGCTCCTAGGAGACTTTAACTTAGACCCCTCGAGGTGTCCCCGAGATTATAAAAAACTTCTTACTCTGGGGGGTTGTGCTCAGCTCAGGGATTTGTTTACACCCGATAATAACCCTA